GCAAATTAAAATTTAATTAATTTTCCTCCTAAAATATCATTCAGAACTCAATTTCTAAACTTGATTTTATTATTTTTGCTGTTCAAATGATCACAATGTATGTGACCAGTACCTATGCAATGCACACAAATTAATCAATTTAGTTCAAAATATCCATTTTTTTTTTTTTAAGAATTGATATTTATAAATATTTGAACATTTAATTAAAATAATATCTGACAATACATGTATTCATTTCGCAAAATTGTACAAATTTCCTATATTTTGATACTTAAAATAGAAATAAAAATTAATTCTAACTGTAAGAATGAATTAAAGCCGTCATTAATTAAAAATTTAATTAATTTTGCTAATAAAAAATTGATTAAAGCTTAATTATTAAAGTTATTTTATTATTTATGTTGCCAATTGACCACACCATAAATGACCAGTACCCATGCAACGCTTATAAATTAATCAATCAAGTTCAAATTATCTAATTTTTTTAATGATTTGATTTTTTTTTTAATATTTTAACATTTAAATAAAATGAGTTTTTGATATTGCTAGAATTTATTTTATAGTTTAATATACAAAACTCTGACAAATTATTGAATTTTCAAAAAATGTGATATTTAAATTTGAAATAAAAATTAATTTCAATTGTAAGAATTAATTAGAACAGTGGCAAATTAAAAGTTTAATTAATTTTGCTCCTAAAATATCATTCAGAACTCAATTTCTAAACTTGATTTTATTATTTTTGCTGCTCAAATGACCACAATGTATGTAACCAGTATCCATGAAATGAATGTATGCGACCAGTACCTGTGCAATGAACACAAATTTAATCAATTGACTTCAAAATAACTAATTTAATGAAATATATATTTTAGCAGTTTTACATTTAATTAATGTAAAATTTGATATTACTAGGAATTATAGAAAAAAAGTCTAATATACAAAAAGGTTTTGATTCATTGCAAATCATTAAACTTTCATAAAATTCTATCTTAAGATTTCAAACAAAAATTAATTTTAGCTGCAAAAATGAATTAAATCTACGACAAATTAAAAATCGTATTAATTTTGTTTCTCAAATATTAAAAAAGCTTAGTTATTGAAATTTATGTTGTCAATTGACCACACCGTAACTGACCGTTACCCATGCAATGCATAAATTTAATCAATTCACTTCAAAATAAGTAATTTTTTTTAATGAATTGATAATTTTTTAATAGTTTAACATTTTAATTAAAATCAAAATTGATAGGAGTAGAAATTATTTCCCCGTTTAATATACAAAAACTCTTGGAAATTATAAAATTTTCACCAAAATCAATTTTAGATTTGAAATAATGCTTAAGCCTAAGCCTAAATATACCCTAAGCCTAAGCCTAAGCATTATTTTATTATTTAAAATGTCAAATGACCACAATGTATGTGACCAGTTCCCGCATATAATAATCAATTTTTTTTTATTAAATGATATTTTTAATAGTTTTAACATCCTCTGAAATTAAATTTGATAATAGTAGAACTTCTTACCTAGTTTTATATGCAAATACCCGTATAAATTATGGGATTTTTGTAAATGTATTATTTAAATTTGAAATATAAATTAATTTTAATTGTAAGAATGAATTAAAATCGTGAAAAATTAAAAATTTAATTATTTTGCTAATAAAATTTTGATCAAAACTTAATTTTTAAAGTTTATTTTATTATTTTTGCTGGTCAAATGACCACGATGTATGTGACCAGTACCTACGCAACGCATAAAATTCAATCATTAAGTACAAAATATCCATTTTTTTTTAATGTTTTAATATTAATATTTAATTAAGATTAAATTTGATAATAGCAGGGTTTTTTTTCCAATTTATTATGCAAAAATTCTTACAAATTATAGCATTTTCGCATAAAGCAATTTTAAATTTGAATGAAAAATTAGCATTAATTGTAAAAATTAATTAGATCTATGACTAATTAAAATTTTACTATTTTCACAAGTGAAATTTTAATCAAAACTTAATTCTTAAAGTTTATTTAGTTATTTATGCTGATCAAATGACCACGATGTATGTGACCAGTATCTATGCAACGCTTATAAATTAATCAAATAAGTTCGAAATATATATTTGTTTTAAGAATTGAAATTTTTCAATATTTTGCCATTTAATTAAATTAAATTTTGACAATTCCGGCATTTATTTCATCATGATTAATTGAAAGTTTTATTAATTTTGCTGATGAATTTATGCGCAATAATTAATTTTGCTAATAAAATTTTGATCAAAACTTAATTTTTAAAGTTTATTTTATTATTTTTGCTGGTCAAATGACCACGATGTATGTGACCAGTACCTACGCAACGCATAAAATTCAATCAATTAAGTACAAAATATCCAACTTTTTTTTAATGTTTTAATATTTTTAATATTTTAATATTTAATTAAGATTAAATTAGATAATAGCAGGGTTTTTTCCCAATTTATTATGCAAAAAATCTTACAAATTATAGCATTTTCGCATAAAGCAATTTTAAATTTGAATGAAAAATTAGCATTAATTGTAAAAATTAATTAGATCTATGACTAATTAAAAATTTTACTATTTTCACAAGTGAAATTTTAATCAAAACTTAATTCTTAAAGTTTAATATTTTGTTCGAAATAAAAAAAAATTTTAATTAAAAATATTAAAAAATTTTTATTGTAAAAATTATTAATTGTAAAAATGAATTAGATCTATGACTAATTAAAAATTTACTATTTTCACAAGTGAGATTTTAATCAAAACTTAATTCTTAAAGTTTATTTAGTTATTTATGCTGATCAAATGACCACAATGTATGTGACCAGTATCTATGCAACGATTATAAATTAATCAATTAAGTTCAAAATATCCATTTTTTTTTTTTTTTTTAAGAATTGATATTTATAAATATTTTAACATTTAATTAAAATAAATTCTGACAATACATGTATTCATTTCGCAAATTGTACAAATTTCCTATATTTTGATACTTAAAATAGAAATAAAAATTAATTCTAACTGTAAGAATGAATTAAAGCCGTCATTAATTAAAAATTTAATTAATTTTGCTAATAAAATATTGATTAAAACTTAATTTCTAAAGTTTATTTTATTATTTTTGCTGGTCAAATGACCATGGTGTGTGTGACCAGTATCCATGCAATGCATATAAATTAATCAATTAAGTTTAAAATATCTATTTGTTTTAAGGAATTGTAATTTTTCAATATTTTATCATTTAATTAAAATAAATTTTTGGTATTATTAGAATTTATTTTGTAGTTTAACATGCAAAATTCTAATAAATTATCGTTTTTTCATAAAATTTAAATTTTAAATTTGAAATAAAAATTAATTTTAATTGTGAGAATGAATTAAAACCGTCACTAATTTAAAATTGAATTCGTTTTGCTAATCAAATATTGATTAAAACTTAATTATTAAACTTTATTTTAATATTTATGCTGGTCAAATTACCACAATGTATGCGACCAGTACCTATGCAATGCACATAAATTGATCAATTAAGCTCGAAATAATTTGATTCATTGCAAAAAAATTTAAATAGTTTTGCTAATCAAATATTGATTAAAACTTAATTTTGAATGATTATTTTATTATTTATGCTGACCAAATGACCAACCGTAAATGACCAGTGTCCATGAAATGAATAAAAATTAATCAATTAAGTTCAAATTGTCTAATTTTTTTTTATGAATTGAAATTTTTCAATATTTTGTCATTTAATTAAAATTACTTTTTGATATTGCTAGAATTTATTTTGTAGATTAATATGCAAAATTCTAATAAATTAATGAATTTTCACAAAATCTAAATTTCATATTTGAAACAAAAATTTATTATAATTGTGAGAATGAATTAAAACCGTCACTAATTTAAAATTGAATTCGTTTTGCTAATCAAATATTGATTAAAACTTAATTATAAAAGTTTATTTAAATATTTATGCTGGTCAAATGACCACAATGTATGCGACCAGTACCTATGCAATGCACACAAATTAATCAATTAAGTTCAAAATAACCATTTTTTTTTAATGAACTGATATTTTTCAATATTCTAACATTTTTTTTAAAACTAGTTTTTGATATTTACTACCATTTTTTTTTTTTTTTGTAGATTAATATACAAAATTCTAGTAAATTAATGAATTTTCAGAAAATTTGATATTTAAATTTGAAATAAAAATAATTTTAGCTGCAGAAATGAATTAAATATAGGACAAATTAAAAATTTTATTAATTTCACTTGTCAAATATTTATAAAAATCTCAATTATCAATGTTTATTTCATTATTTATGCTGGTCAAATGACCACAATGTACGTGACCAGTACCCATGCAATGCATAAAAATTATTCAATTAAGCTGAAAGCAAATATCTTTTTGAATGAATTACTATTTTTTAATAGTTTTGATTTCAATTAAAATAAAATTTGATGATAGTAGGACTTTTTTCCTAGTTCAATATGCAAAAACTCTTACAAATTGTGGGATTTTCATTGAAATAAAACTTAGTTTCAATTGTAAGAAATGATTTAAAACCGTGATAAATTAAAAATTTAATTAATTTGCTACCGAAATATTGTTCAAAACCAAATTATTGATGTCTATTTTATTATTTATGACGTCAAATGACCACAATGTATGTGACCAGTTCCCGCACTATGCATATAAAATATTAAATTAGTTTCTAATTTTCTATTTTTTTAATATGAATTGCTATTTTTTAATAGTTTTTACACTTAATTAAATTAAAATTTGACAGTCAATCTTACTTTTCTTGCTTTACATATTTTTGCAACGTTTTGAATTGCAGAAAATTGTGGCACACCTACACACACTACTTTGGTTGTGCAAGTTGATCTAGGTTCTATTCTAATCTTCATTGCATCAACACCTGCATCAACATTAATTACGTCAATCTCTTCTCTGACCATAGTTTCACATCTTTCTATATCATCTTTTTACCAGTACCAACTGCAGCGGCAACTCTGAGCCGCCCTTAAGCATCATTACATGAATTAGCGTATCTATTGTATTTCTTAATATCTTTAACTGTGATCAAATCTATAGAGTAGGTGTTTTCATCTATGACCAAAAGCTTTTCTATTCTATTCTATTCTCATGCAATAGTTTCATTGCTGAAGCGCTCCCGTATTGTAACTAACTTCTCTTTTGTCATTACCTCGGGACTTTTATACTTTTTTCTGATTTTTTTAACCATCAATAAACCTTATATCTCTGTTACTTAAAACTCTGACTAACTTGCATTGATCAATTACAGGAATACCAGAAGCTTTTTCAATAATGAAATTGCTTCTGCAACTGTTTTATCAGGGGAACAACACAGTCTGAAGTAGAGGAGTCAATAGTCAATTGCTTATGTAATCCACTGACTTTTTTTGCTGCTTTCTTTTTGTACTCATGTATGAGAGACACATTGCTTTGGTCGGTGTGGCTCAGTCGGTAGAGCATCAGCTTGTGGTATTGAGTGCGGCTAGTTCGGCTCCGCTCACTCTCTCCAGGAAGATCGTTACCTGCCTTATGATGAGTACTAAATTAGTGTGCAATTACACAGCCAGCAAAGGCTCCTTGAATAATCCGAGTGGTGTGGCTCAGTTGGTAGGGCATTAGCTTGTGGCATTGAGTGCGGCTAGCTCGGCTCTGCTCGCTGCCCTCACTTAAAATCTCCTCTGCATTATTATGAGTCTTTAATCAGCCAGCAAAAACTCACTCCCCAAACCATCTAAGTGGGTATGTGCGCCTAGTTCGGTTCTGGTCGCTCTCCCAAATGAAATCTCCCTTGCAAAATGATGAGTAGTCCTAAACACAGCAAAAACTCTCTAAATCATCTGAAAATTCCAATAAACGATTGTCAGACATGTTATGTTCAACCTACTGTCTTCATCAGATGTACCTCAACTTCTTGACTAAATTTAACGAAGTTGGTAAGGAATATAGCATTATCGTCAATAAACGCATAGGGCAGTTTATATATCTATTGTCTCTTTATTTAAAAGAAGCTTTTTTGCCATCTTCATCTTCTATACCAAGCTTTTAGTTATTTTGTATATTTAATGCTCAGAAGTAAAATCTATTACTCCTTTAGAATCTAATTCTTCTTTTTGCTTTCGGATAACTGATAGAATATTAAATCTTCAGTAAAGTCAGAAGCAGACGATACACCAATTAGTTTTGCAATTCTTTCTGAAAGTTGGAGAGCAGTGAGCAACATCAGGCGCCGTCTCATGCTTGAACCTATAATTATTTGCTTGCCGTTACGAGTTACTCTAACACAATTTTTTTGCCAATCACTCATCGTGTAATCAGTGTAATCAGCACCTGAATAACCAATAACCATGACCAAAGTAATCAAATAACACAAATGCTATATGAGTTACTTGACAAAATTTTAAATAGCAGCTGTTCTAGTTCCGTTCATATTGAATGAAAATCCACCGAAAAGACTATGGAAGCTTTTTTTTTTTTTTTCCTTTGTAGCACGCAATGTGCTATGCTATGTACTTACTGTCTTCATCAAGCAAAGTAATGCTGTAATCCATGTTATTTTGGTATAGCAACCTGACCATCACTTAGTTGACATTCAAGTAACCGATTAGATCTGCAATTTCCTGCGGATTGGAAATACCTACAAATGTCATATGCATACCTTTTATATAGGCTTTTGAACTCTTTGAGAAGGCAAATAATTCTTCATATCTCTCTCCACTTTTGATTCTTTTCAAGCATTGCTTTTGAGTAATAATCTACCACTGATATTGAGTAATAATCTACCACTGCTATCCATTTTTTTTTTAATGAATTGATATTTTTCAATATTTTAACATTTATTTAAAATTAGTTTTTGATATTGCTGGATTTATTTTGTAGATTAATATGCAAAATTCTAGTAAATTAATGAATTTTCATAAAATTTAAATTTGAAATAAAAATCAATTATAATTTTAAAAATGAATTAAAACCGTCAAAAAATAAAATTGAAATAGTTTTGCTAATCAAATATTGATTAAAACTTAACTATTAAAGTTTATTTTAATATTTATGCTGGTCAAATGACCACGATGTTGTGACCAGTATCTATGCAACGCTTATAAATTAATCAATTAAGTTCAAATTATCTAATTTTTTTTATGAATTGATATTTTTCAATATTCTAACATTTAATTAAATTAATTTTTGACAATTCCAGCATTTATTTTATAGTATAATACGCAAAGCACTAATAAATTATTGAGTTATCATAAAATTTGATATTTAAATTTGAAATAAAAATTAATTTGAATTGTAAGAATGAGTTAAAACCGTGATAAATTAAAAATTTAATCAATTTCCGCTAGTCAAAATATTGATTAAAACTTAATTTTAAAGTTTATTTAGTTATTTATGCTGATCAAATGAACAACCGTAGATGACCAGCACCTGTGCAATGCATACAAATTAATCAATTAAGTACAAAATATCTATTTTTTTAGTGATTTGATATTTTTTAATATTTTAACAATTATTTAAAATTATTTTTGATATTTACTACAATTTTTTTGTAGATTAATATGCAAAATTCTAGTAAATTAATGAATTTTCATAAAATTTGACACTTAAATTTGAAATAAAATTAACTTCAATTATAAGAATGAATTAAAACCGTGATAAATTAAAAATTAAATCAATTCCGCTAGTCGAATATTGATTGAAACTTAATTTCTAAAGTTTATTTAGTTATTTATGCTGATCAAATGAGCAACCGTAGATGACCAGTACCTGTGCAATGCATATAAATTGATCAATTATGCTCGAAATATCTAACTTTTTTTAATGAATATATATTTTTTTAACAGTTTTAACATTTAATTGAAGTAAAATTTGATATTGCTAGAAATTATTTCGTAGTCTATTATACAAAAAAGGCTTTGATTCATTGCAAATCATAAAATTTTCATAAAATTCGATCTTAAAATTTCAAACAAACAAAAACTAATTTTAGCTGCAGAAATGAATTAAATCTACGACAAATTAAAAATCTTAATAATTTCACCTCTCAAATATCAAATAAAAACTTAGTTATTAAAGTTTATTTTCTTATTACGTATGCAACGCATAAAATTAATCAACTGAGTTCAAAATAACTAATTTTTTTTAAAGGAATTGATATTTTTTAATAGTTTTAACATTTAATTAAAATAAAATGATAAAAACTAGAGATTTTTTCTCCCTTTAATATACAAAAGCTCTTGCAAATTATAAAATTTTCACCAAATCAATTTTTAGATTTGAAATAATGCTTAAGCCTAAGCCTAAGTATACCCTAAGCCTAAGCCTAAGCATTATTTCATTATTTAAGATGTCAAATGATAACAATGTATGTGGCCAGTTCCCGCACTATGCGTATATAATAATCATTTTTTTTTTTTTATTAAATGATATTTTTTAATAGTTTTAACATCCTTTGAAATTAAATTTGATAATAGTAGAACTTCTTACCTAGTTTTATATGCAAATACCCGTATAAATTATGGGATTTTTGTAAATGTATTATTTAAATTTGAAATATAAATTAATTTTAATTGTAAGAATGAATTAAAATCGTGAAAAATTAAAAATTTAATTAATTTTGCTTCTAAAATATCATTCAGAACTCAATTTCTAAACTTGATTTTATTATTTTTTGCTGCTCAAATGACCACAATGTATGTAACAGTA